TGGTCGCTATGGTAAAGTTTAAATGTGCCTTCAAAATAAGATACACCGCCAATACAAAGTGCATGAAAAATATGACTCACCATAGCCGTATATTATGCAGAGCGGGTTAAATCCGTATTTTAAGTAGGACTCCTGATACTGTCTATTAATTGTTGCCTTCTTTTTCTTGGAAGTCGTAGGTTCCTCTTTTGTCTCCTGGCTGGGCCTTTTCCCCTTCCCAAAGACGTTTGTTTTTGACTCATTTTGCTAGCCCCTGGGTTTCATTTTAGAGGTAACCTATCACGTGACCAAGAAGTGCGCCCTGAGCTCCGTTAAGAGTGACATATTGTAGACGGATGTAGCAGAGAATCCGGTAATTTTTCAAAATATAACATTTTTCAAATTCCGAAATAAAGCAAACGGAAGGAATGTAAGTTCCTTCCCAAAGACGTTTGTTTTTTACTCATTTTGCTAGCCCCTGGGTTTTCATTTTACGTGACCAAGAGGTGCGCCTTGAGCTCTTATTTCTGTGCGGCCCGGTACCAAATGACCCACGGTACCAGTCCACGGCCCATGGGTTGGGGACCACTGTTGCACATTGAATGAGACTTAACGTGTTTCTGCAAGTTTCTCCCAAGTGCTTGCCGGTAATTTTTCAAAATATAACATTTTTCAAATTCAAATAAAGCAAACGGAAGTAAAGTAAGTTCTTTATTCTTTCTTTTGGCACCAAATGACCCATGGACCGGTACTGGTCCGCGGCCCGTGGGTTGGGGACCACTGTTGTTGCACATTGAGTGCATTTCTGTAAGCGCTCCTCTCAAGTGCTTATTATGATTCATTTTCCATCACTGTGCATAATCACAAAACTCCTGTGAATAGTTACAGTATCTTTTAACCCTTTCAGGTACAGCGATTACTACAGTGGACAGCTTATCATGTTGTCAGGTTACGGGGTCCATGAAAGGGTTAAAATTCAAAATGTAAGTTACGTATCCTATTGGTTTCTGCAGGTTTGCCATATGATTCATTTTCCATCACTGTGCATAATCACAAAGCTCCTGTGAATAGTTACAGTATCTTTTAACTCTTTCAGGTACAGCGATTACTCCAGTGGACAGCTTACATTGTTGTCAGGTTACGGGGTCCATGAAAGGGTTAAAATTCAAAATTTATGTTATGGATCAGATTGGTTTCTGCAAGTTTGCCGAGCGCAGTGGCTGCTGAGTGTATATTTCATATACATCCATCCATCCAACCACTTTCTGATCCGCTTTATCCTCACAAGGGTCGTGGGGCGTGCTGGAGCCTATCCCAGCTGTCTTCGGACAGTAAGTAGGGGACACCCTGAACTGGTTTCCAGCCAATCACAGGGCACATAGAGACAAACAACCATCCGCACTCACACTCACACCTTGGGACAATTTTGAGTGTTCAATCAGCCTGCCATGCATGTTTTTGGATTGTGGGAGGAAACCAGAGTACCTGGAGAAAACCCACGCAGGCATGGGGAGAACATGCAAACTCCACACAGGAAGGCCGCAGCTGGAATTGAGTACGGTCCCTCTGCACTGTGAGGTCGACGCGCTAACCACTGGACCACCAGGCCACACTACAATTCATATATGTCATCATAGTGACAGATTTTAGCTGTGGCAGTAAGTTTCAGGATCTACTTTTTTCATATTCTTGTCTGATCTGAATCACAGACGTCTGGCTTTGAATGGCTATTGGTGATTTAAATGGCTATCTGAGGCTTCTCTCTCCGGCTGACCCACATTTCTTCCTCACATTACAATTGAAGCAAGCTTTTTTAATTGATTACTGGAGTTTGTTTATCTTGTTGTGAATGATCAGTCACCCGACCCTCACCGCACTGCCAGCGCGCGTAACCCTGCACCACCCACGCGGCGGACAGTAAATTGATGTTTTGAAATGAGAAAATGCGGTTACTATCTGAATTTTAAAGGTTCGGTTGATATTCTTACAATCCGAGATTCAATTTTAAATGTATTCACGAAAAAGCTATGATGTGTAATCTACCGAGGTACAACTTGACTACAAGATAAACGATCACCATGTTGATTTCATGACCTGTATAGATAGGAGTTGAGAGCTGCCCCAGCTGCCCAGAACCGTTCCTACTCAAGGAGTGGAAAGGTGCACTCGTGTCAGTATGTCACTAATATACAATCATGGGGGGGGTATGGCACACAATACACTGTGTTCATGTCATAATCTTTGCTTGCACTGTTTCGATGATATTTTGATTTTATTTGCCGTTATGTCTTGTTTTCCTGTGTCCCATGTTCATGTCTTGTCTTGCTCTTCTTGCGTTGAGACTTTATAAGCAATGCGGTGAGGATTTTAGAATGCTAAGGGTTTTATCACTGAACGTTTCTGGATCAGTGGAGACAATTTTAAAGCAGAGCCCTTTTAAGGCTACTTTTGTGTCCAAACATTTGACGTGTGTTATGTAATGGTGACTTGTGGTCACTCCCCATTGAGCTTATGCTGCATTGGTCAGGAGAAACACGAGGTAGTGACGTGCGGATCGAGACCATCCATTCAACAAGAGGGCCTCCCAACAACTGAAAAATAAAAATCACAAAAACAAGTGCGAATCCTTATGTGCAATGTAGTGTTTATTGTACATCAGCGGTCCCCAACCTTTTTTGCCCTGCGGACCGGTTTAATGTCAGACACTATTTTGACTGATAAATACAACAAAATAATATGATATGACCTGCATGAAAACTGTGGTATTTTCGAAACATAATAATAAACACGAATCATGACACGAGGAACGTCCTATCTGGCCGCAACGCTCTCTGGTCGCTATGGTAAAGTTGAAACGTGCCTTCAAAATAAGATACACCACCAATACAAAGTGCATGAAAAATACAACTCACCATCGCCGCATATTATGCAGAGTGGGTTAAATCCGTATTTTAAGTAGGACTCCTGATACTGTCTATTAATTGTTGCCTTCTTTTTCTTGGAAGTCGTAGGTTCCTCTTCTGTCTCATGGCTGGGCCTTTTCCCCTTCCCAAAGAAACTTCCCAAAGACGTTTGTTTTTTACTCATTTTGCTAGCCCCTGGGTTTTCATTTTACGTGACCAAGAGGTGCGCCTTGAGATCCGTCAAGAGTGACATATTGTAGACGGATGGAACAGAGAATCCGGGAATTTTTCAAAATATAACATTTTTCAAATTCAAATAAAGCAAACGGAAGTAAAGTAAGTTCTTTATTCTTTCTTTTGGCACCAAATGACCCATGGACCGGTACTGGTCCGCGGCCCGTGGGTTGGGGACCACTGTTGTTGCACATTGAGTGCATTTCTGTAAGCGCTCCTCTCAAGTGCTTATTATGATTCATTTTCCATCACTGTGCATAATCACAAAGCTCCTGTGAATAGTTACAGTATCTTTTAACTCTTTCAGGTACAGCGATTACTCCAGTGGACAGCTTACATTGTTGTCAGGTTACGGGGTCCATGAAAGGGTTAAAATTCAAAATTTATGTTATGGATCAGATTGGTTTCTGCAAGTTTGCCGAGCGCAGTGGCTGCTGAGTGTATATTTCATATACATCCATCCATCCATCTATTTTCTGATCCGCTTGAGCCTCACAAGGGTCGTGCGGGGCGTTCCCATGCATGTTTTTGGAATGTGGGAGGAAACCAGAGTACCCGGAGAAAATCCACGCAGGCATGGGGAGAACATGCAAACTCCACACAGGAAGGCCGCAGCTGGAATTGAGTACGGTCCCTCTGCACTGTGAGGTCGACGCGCTAACCACTGGACCACCAGGCCACACTACAATTCATATATGTCATCATAGTGACAGATTTTAGCTGTGGCAGTAAGTTTCAGGATCTCCTTTTTTCATATTCTCGTCTGATCTGAATAACAGACGTCTGGCTTTGAATGGCTATTGGTGATTTAAATGGCTATCTGAGGCTTCTCTCTCCGGCTGACCCACATTTCTTCCTCACATTACAATTGAAGCAAGCTTTTTTAATTGATTACTGGAGTTTGTTTATCTTGTTGTGAATGATCAGTCACCCGACCCTCACCGCACTGCCAGCGCGCGTAACCCTGCACCACCCACGCGGCGGACAGTAAATTGATGTTTTGAAATGAGAAAATGCGGTTACTATCTGAATTTTAAAGGTTCGGTTGATATTCTTACAATCCGAGATTCAATTTTAAATGTATTCACGAAAAAGCTATGATGTGTAATCTACCGAGGTACAACTTGACTACAAGATAAACGATCACCATGTTGATTTCATGACCTGTATAGATAGGAGTTGAGAGCTGCCCCAGCTGCCCAGAACCGTTCCTACTCAAGGAGTGGAAAGGTGCACTCGTGTCAGTATGTCACTAATATACAATCATGGGGGGGGTATGGCACACAATACACTGTGTTCATGTCATAATCTTTGCTTGCACTGTTTCGATGATATTTTGATTTTATTTGCCGTTATGTCTTGTTTTCCTGTGTCCCATGTTCATGTCTTGTCTTGCTCTTGTTTTTGGTTTCCACCTTTTCTCATCGTCCGTGTTCCTTGTGTCAGCCAATCAGCTACCTTCAGCCAGTGATGTCTTATCGATGTGTGCCTCGTTGTTTTATTTAGTTGACTGATTTCTTTCAATCTGCTCGTTGTTGCTGCTGCTGAAGTCAAGGTACGCATGTCTACTTTCCATTTACTTTGTAGTGGTGGGAATTTGCTTTCCGTTTATTACTTCAAACTTTGAGGTTCTTTTTTTTTTTTTACTTTGTCACTCCAGTTCTTTGTTATTTTGGCTATACAGTCAACCCTGTTCCTGTCCTTTGCAAATTCCTGAACAGAAACAACATGATGAATGTGAAAGAGCAAAATCATGTAATGAACTTGCCCATTTCCCTGTTTTGGACCTAGACACCTACTTTCACTCTCCTTGCCCCTCCAGGGCTAACAGTCGCGCAATTCACATCGTGTCAGCTGCCACCCAAGCCTCCCAGAAAGTCGGCCACTGTAACAACCAGCATTTTACTTTGCTGTAATCAGGCCGTGTGGCTGAAGCCAGGGTTGTAACTGTGTTTACTGTGTAAACAACGAGGGCCTCTGCAACGCTGCTGCGACATGAATGGTTAACAATTAACAGAGAGCCTCAGTCATCACCCTTGTAGATTGCCACTCCATACTATAAGCATCCCGCATAATCCTCGTGTTTGTCTGTTGGTGAATACTGTCGTGACCAAAATATCATTGCGGAGGACCAAAGCAGTCATTCTTGGGGAAAGCATTTTTTTTTTCTTTTTCAATTTGACACAATGCGACCAAAGATGTCTTTATGCCTGGAGTCTGTCAGATTAAAAAAAAAAAAAAAAATCTTTTCAGATTTGAAAAATCCCTATGTGTGTTCCAGGCAAGAGGAGAATCCAAACAGTACCGGAATTGATCTGATCCAAGTTAATCATTAACATGCTTTTGACAGTGTATAAAGCTCATGATGTTCCCACCGTGGCTCTTCAGCCAGTCACAGGAGAGAGTGACGGCTGTCAGCGGTAGGATAAGCAGAACGACAACATGAAAACGACCCTGACCTACTTATTTATTCTTGCTGGTGCCGGGCTAACTGTCCTGTGCGGCAAAGAGGAGCAGCCCGAGGTTTCTGTTGAAACCCCCTCACACTTTGCAGCTCTGGACGACGTGCGACTCCTGGCGACCGGCCTCCTCGAGCTGGGCCAGAGCCTGCGGGATTTTGTGCACAAGACCAAGGGGCAGATCAATGATATCTTCCAAAAGCTCAACATCTTTGGCCGTTCGTTCGACCAACTTTCTGTGCTGGCCAGGGAAATCAAGGAGGAGGAAGAGGAGCTGAAGAAGACGGCGGTGATGCTGCAAGCTAACAATGAGGAGATCAGGGGCATATCTGTTAACATCGGCTCCAAGGTGGAAAGCATCATGCTGGAGAAGAGCTCTCTGCGGAGCAAAGTGGAAGGTCTGGAAGAGAAGCTGAGAAGTATGTCTCAGAGCCTGTTGACTGGCGACCAAGTGAGAGACATCAATGGTCTTAAGGTAAGGCACCTGGAGGCATGCTCCACCCTCCATCTCCTCCTTCCGGGAAGTTCAGCAGGCCGATTTCAAAAAGCTTTGGTGTGGTGTAGTCATCAAAAAGCGGGTTATGCCCTGTGATAAACGACCTGCCTTTTGATGTAAATCAGCTGGGATAGTTTTCAACTCATTCTTCTTCTTCTTCTCCTTTCGGCACGTCCCTATTCAGGGGTCGCCACAGCGAGTCAGTAATTTCCATCCGCCCCTGTAAACCGTCCTACCAACTCGCATGGTCGTCTTGGCAAAAGTTTTACGCCGGATGCCATTCCTGACGCAACCCTCCCCATTTCTCCGGGCTTGGGACCGGCACTGGGGAACAGTGCACCCCCAGGGGAGGGCACTGCCCCCCAGCGGCTGGGTTTAGTTTTCAACTCATTAAGCAGCAGAAATGAACTGATGAATGAAAAAGCCGTTCACAGGTTTTACGCCCTTTACTCCTCTCTTTAAAAACAGGGAGTGATTAACAACCAGGAACAAAGCATCACAGAGCTGCTGAAGGCTGTGAGGGAGCAAAGTGATCAACTCAACTACCAGAGAGTTAAAATCAAGAGTCTGGAAGAAAAGGTAGTGGAATATTCTTTTAGACAAAGGAATTGTCATGAAATGTCCAAATCGTGGATGCACGTATCAGAAAGAACCTCAAGTGATGTTTGGTTCAGGATTTACCTGAAGGCAGCAATGATGAAGTAGTTGTCCGTATCTTATACATACACCTACTCTGCATCAAACTGCCCTTTGTTGGGAAAAGAGCGGCCTCCTCTCCCCCGCGTGTTCGTTGAATTTCGGACGAGGAGAATGTTGGTAATCCAAATAAAGGCTGGAGTGGATAAACAGTTCCTTCGAAGCTTTTAATAACAGAATATTCCGGGCACCCACGAATTACAGACAATGGCTGCGCGTCACGAGTGCGAAGCAGGAAGAGCTTCACATCATTTTTATACCATCAGAAGGGCGGTACCGAGACACAAAGTGTGATTTCATAACTTTCGTTTCTCCGAAACCAATTCTCAGCTTGGCGCATTCCAAAGTTTGTGCGTCTTCAGCAGGGAGTATTCCAATTCTAGGTGATGATTGTTACAAAGACGCAAAGCTATACTGCGAACATGGGAAAGTTATACAGCATGACTGAATATGAGCAGAGTACAAACTAAATATGAGCAGAATATAGACTTCACCTTCAAAAGTAATCTGAGGGCTCTCTCGCCGTGAGGGAACTTGATGCTAACTCTGCTAGCCGCTAAACGCTGTAGCCACCGCTAAATGCTGGTAACGGGCTCCGTATAACACAATGTCAGTATAACACCCCACATGATGATGCAATATTGTGACAGTGAAAAAATACCGGAACATAAAATGTATCTTTCATGAAATCGTGACCTCTCTGACAATGTCAATCAATCCTGATGATTGTTTTCTTTGCAAGTTGATAATGCTCATGCATTGGGTCCTAGTGTATACATAAGTGCATGTGTCTGCATGTTTATTTAAACTCTGAGGTGGATGTATTATGTGTGTCCAAATTTTGATGCTAACAATGTTCCCTAGCTTACAGCCAGTACATTAGCTCAAGACACAAGTGGAAGGATGCCTGAATCCTTCAGCAGCGACACACCCACACTCAGCCCATATCTGGCCTCAGACTCCAGCAAGAAAACCGCAGACATGGGTAAGATCGGTATCAGCACTGCACTGGATGGGAGCTTCGTAGTGATATTAGAATCGCTATCTGTCAGGATCTGTCAGCGTTTATTCAGTCTGACTGCGAGTATGATCAAGGTGTTAGATTTCCCAGATGGCAATCATAGTTTTGTCTTTTACCTACACCGTGCTTGGCATACATCATTTCTGAGGAAATGATTTAACTTTAAATGCTCCTCAATTCAACCTTGTTTTGGTACACTTTAAATAGATCTCCCGTCAGACTGCAGTGAAGTGTTCAACAGAGGTGAGAAAATCAGTCGAGTGTACGCCATCAGACCTAATGGATCGGAGCCGTTCAAGGTGTTTTGTGACATGACCGCAGGTAAAGTAATGGCTCGCCGTGCCGCTTGTCCATTCATATTTTAGTTACTTCAACATTTGAGAAAACATGTTTTCCATTGCTTCAACTCTTTCTCTCTCTCTAATTTCTCTATTGAAGAAATTTCATTTTTTACTGTAACGCGTGTAATATTTAAATTTCATTAGCTGGTGAATTTGGGGTTTTGGTTAGCTGTATGCTGTAATTGCCAAAATTATATTTAAAAAAAAAAAGAAACCATGAAGTATTCCGCTCTGTGTATCTTCATTTTGTACGAAATTAGGATTTCTATCCATCCAGAACTTTCTGAATTGAACCACTGATGTAACTTGGGTTTTCCACAATATTTTAATTGATTTCGATGCACTTGTATATCTACCAAAATTACCTTTTTAAACTCTGCAGTAAAAGCAAAATGAACCGCCCCGCCCCCCCAAAAAAATAAACATTTGCTGTGTTGACTTTCTTGCAGATCATGGAGCAACAGTCATTCAGCGTAGAAGAGACGGCTCTGTCAACTTTGACCAATCGTGGGAGAAATACGAAAATGGATTTGGAGATTTTCACGGTATGTCAAAAGCCGGAAAAAGTATTTCTATGATGTGCCATTATTGTATTCATTTTGTTGGTCCACTTTTTTATTTTCACAATTCTTGCGACTTACTGGGATAACCTGGGACATCGGGGATCGTCTTTCATGCCATGTCATGTGTGTTGGCTTGTTGGAATTCCTTGAATTCTTGAAAACTCAACTTGAAATATAATTTCAAAGAACAACCTGGAATTAATATAGAAGCAAAGTAAAAGAAGAATCTACTAATATAATAGCAATAAAAAAATAAAAAAAAAACAATAAATACAGCCGTTGCTGTTGTGTACACTCTTACAATTAGATAAGAGTACCATAGAAGAAGAAATTACCATTAAGCTCTTTTAGGTGACTAAATTTTCCACAGATTGGAAAGACCATGTGCATTTTATTATTGTTATGTTATATGTATCTAATATGTTCCTAAAGTTTTTGTATTTATTTGAAGTAGTATCACTCCTAGAGGTCAATGCTAATTTAACGTTAGCATGTCAATGGGATTTTACATTGACTTTTCGCCAGTGATGCTTTTGTGAGTAATTCTTTTGTTGTGTATTTCATTTTTCAGTAAACGCCAACAGGGGTGTCATTAAACAGGTCAAAGAATGCTCAGGGAGGGCATAATGTCATTTAAAAAAAAGGGGAGCTACTTTCAAAACACCCCTCTGCACATTAATTGTTTGTTTGTGAGAAGCCAAAATTCAAATTACGATTAAATTTCGAGCACTACAAACCAGTATTTTCTTTTTTTTAGTGTTTATAGATTTTGAAATAAAGTGTAAAATTTGCTTGCCAATAAATTAATTCAAATTCAGGATACTTGGGACTATTGTGGTCATTTGGATATATGCTGAAGTGAGTTTCTTACTGTGTATCTCACAGTAGTCTGCCGCTGCTTTTTTTGTGTCATGATGTGGTTTTAACTTGCCCTCTCATGTTTCTGTCTGTGCTTCTCATTTCTGGTCAACCGTGTCTGTTGCAAGGGGAGTTTTGGCTGGGTCTGAGTAAGATTCACTCGCTGGTTGCACAGGGCAATTCTGTCCTTCACATCCATCTGGAAGACTGGAAACACAATAAGCGCTTCATCGAATACACTTGTGACCTTGATGGTCCAGAGAGCAACTACACCCTTCACCTCAAGCTATTGTCAGGAGATCTGAGCGACCCCATGAAGAACCACACGGGCATGATGTTCTCCACTAAGGACAGGGACAATAACAAGCACCGGCACTCCAACTGTGCCCACAACTACACAGGTGAAAAAGATGTCATTTCTTGAAAATTCAAAGCATCTACCTCTATTCTTCATTTATTCAAATTTCCTATAACTTTAGGTGGTTGGTGGTTCAATAGCTGTGGGGACACCAACTTGAATGGGAGATATTTCCGCATGAGACACAAGGGACGTTCAGATCGTCGAAGAGGGATTCATTTGAAGCCGGGGCGAAAAGCTTCTTATTCGCTCAGGTTCACACAAATATCGGTCTTTCCCTTCAACACGTCTTCACAGTCATCTGAAACTGGTGGTTTTCTCGCAAACAACCACCTGTGAAGAGTGTATAGAGGCCTCTTCAGGAAAACGTTGGAAATGCTATGTGTGGGCAGCCATCATTTCAGAAGGCATGGTCTCAGTTAGGGGATTCAAGTCACTTACACAGGAACGAAGTGCAGAGCGACAGCACTAAGAGTTGTTCTGTCTGAAAACGCAGACAGGCCGGGCTAAGCTCATGACCAAGAAGAAATATATATTTTCTAAACATTTCAAATGGAAATTCATTAAGTTGTTCTGATCTTCATCACGTGGTACAAACTATAGGGTGATTGAATAGTAAGTAACTCCCCATTTCAAAATACTGATAAATTATGAATGTATTGCCATTTATCGGAAAACAAACTATATTTTAATTTTAATGTGTTTGTTATTTTTTCGGGAGTTTGAGAGTCCTGCACAGGATCTTAGCTATTCCCAGTATTGCGCTCTTCTCCACGGAAATGTCGGATGTTGTTCCTGGAATCATCCACCCAGTTTGGGGGTGACTCTCCGTAGTGCCCCGATCACTAATGGCACCACTGTTGCCTTTACCCTCCACATTTTCACGAGTTCTTCCTTCTGTCCTTGGTAATTCTGCAGGTTTTTATGTTCCTTTTTCCTGATGTTGATGTCTTCTGATGTTTATCCACCACCACTACGTCAGACTGGTTGGCTATCACCCGTTTGTCAGTCGGATCTGGAAGTCCCACAGTATCTTCACGTGGTTGTTCTCAACTATCTTTGGAGGTTTATACCATCTAATCCATATTTGTTACAGATGTTCTGGTACACTATTCTTGCTACCTGACTGTGATGCTCCATGTATGCCAATTGTACTATCTTACCCAGCAATGCTTTACAAACCTAATTGTGCTATATATCTGCTATTATATGTGATGTGTTGTATTATTTATCTTAGCAACGGCCAACTTACCCACATGTTGATATTCTTTTTGGTGTACTAATCCCTAACTACATATACTGACAGAATGATCATTTCTGTATCTTTTATTATTTGATGCATTTTTTTAAATACCAGGATGGAGACAAAAAAAAGAGAACCTTTTGTGATGCTTTTCTTTAATTTGTATATCAAACCAGAAGAGCTCAGCGAAACTCAACAATGGACCATTTGAATGGCTTCAATACTATAAACTTTTGTTTCACTGAAAAGTTGTTACACATTACAACTCAGCACGAGAGTTGTAGGTACTGTTAATAAACTGTAGAGGGCAGTGCAGTTTTTTTATGGAGTTTGACCACACTACATGTATTTTGCATGTTTGCATCCAATCCGCTGACTCATTTGCTATCTGAATTTATCCTGTACACACGCTCGAGTGAGTTGAGCCTTACCAAGAGAGTGACAAACATTAACTGTATTTTCGATTGAAACTAGGGATGGCCAGCTTCAATTCTAGAGGGGGGCACATTCTGTATTTTTTCATTTAAAAATTTTTTCTCCTTAATTTCCCCCGCCGTGTTTTTGAATAATCTTGCGGGTTTATGAATAATAATAATAATAATCCTTTTTAATTTGTTAATTTTTACCCATTCTTGATGTAAACAAACACACATTGGGCTTTATTTTCACAGCCATGCATTTGTAAAAATGAGCGCATCTTCATTTTCATGGCAAGGAAAGTCTGAGACACATGATTGGGGGTGCAAGGCGCTCTCCAAGTGCCCACTCCAGCGCAGCCAACTTTAAATCATCCGCAAGTAGAGATCTTGCAGTTTCTTTTAAATGTACTTGGCATGCGCCGATATCCTGCATCTGCTGTGCATGCCATGTAGACCGTCCTCCTCTCTCTGCACTGAATTTAAATTGAATGATGGGCGCTTCTTCCATCGGATGGCAAACAAGTTGGCTGCGTTCCCTCCCACAGCGGTGCAACATCTCCTTTCTACCTGCGCAAGTAAGAAAACTCTACCTAGGCGCACAGTTAGATCGCATTTTGCACTTGCGCGGGGCACAAAAATAAGACCCATTGGGTTGAATTGCACGGAAGTACTTGCAAAATTGTATTCTCCCTAAAGAAGCCTTTTTGCTGTCATGTATCGGTGCTTGCCACATGACCACTGTCCTCCATCTATTATTAGAGTCGATTATGTGTTTTGTTAAGAGGGTGTAAAAGCCATATATCCCCTTGCAATTTCTGTCCAGTGATATTGTAATTGCCCCTTTCATTGCTAATGCTCCTCCTTCAACGTAAGATGCCATGCATGCAAGTCATTACTCTGAGCCTTGCTGCACCCCTCGAACCAAACAGTTCACCACCACCCTGCTTCTACACGTACACACTCAAACACAACTTTATGGCTTGACAGTGATTTCCCTGCACATGTGTGAAGGAGCGTCTTCAGTTACTCGCCCTGCGTCTGCACACACACACACACACACACACACACACACACACACACACACATATTAGTTTGAAAAGTTATTTTGGGTCCAGTTAGGACTACTGTCACCCTGTGCACACTGCGGGGGAAATAAGAGGAGGAGTCAAGATTTCAGCCAGCAGTTCCGTCCCTGTAATACGTTCTCTCAAAACAACAGCTTTCCTCTCGCTTTGCCTGCTGCTGCATTGGGTGAAAATTTCAAAACAAAGATGAACAACAGTCCTTTGCGGGTGCTGACTGTCCCTACATCCCCTTACGCTGACCAGAGACCCGGTACCAACGGTCTGAGAAGAAAGGTCCATGTCTTCCAGTCCAGGAGGAACTATCTGCACAACTTCATCCAGAGTATCTTCTCCTCCATTGACCTCCGTGACCGTCAGGGTTCCACAGTGGTGGTGGGGGGAGATGGACGCTTCTTTAACCAAACAGCTATTGAGGTCATTGTGCAGATGGCAGCTGCCAATGGGGTCAGTGACACCATTTGTGCTCATTTGCTTACTTTGTTCATGCACAGTGCAAGCATCCCTAAAATTGTTATATTGTCTGCGTTTTGTCGAATCTGAAGTGTCACCTGCCCCAGCGGTCACCAGTTATAATTTCTTAATTGTTTTTGTTGGAACTAGATTTTACACAGATTAGATCGGCTGGGTGGGAAATGCAGATATTTTGCATTTTCTGCAAAATCAGTGATTGGTCGTAATGTCGTAATTTGCAGAACAATCGACGCCGTCAATCAGATAAAGCATAAATATGATGGCAAACACAATCTTGTTCACTCTAGCAACGTTCTGTGCTGCCATAGTTAATGGCTAAAGTTTCTCAGCATATGCAGTCAAATTTTATTTCTTTTTTTTTTTTTCCCCAAAATGTTTTCAAATTAATCAGGTCTGCCAGGCCAGTCCCAATTGCCCAAATACTGGGAGTAGACTGGACAGCAAATAAACAAGTTGTTCAAATAGATTGGATATATTGGTCCATCTTCTGATCGGCTCAGTGATCAGTTATTGTTTGATCATGTTAAGCCTATTTGCAACTCATTTGACTTCAAAACATACGTTGATATGTTCGGTCACCCAAATGTACAGAATCAGAAAAGCAGAAAATTCTGCCATAGATTGAGAATTTACTCTACATTGTACTTGCAAAATTTACAATTTTTTTTAAATTTTTTATCCAAGATCAAATAATTTAATATAAACATAATTTATTATCATTGATGTCTATTATTAATACAGCCAACCATCCATGTTCTGCACCGCTTAACCTCATTAGGGTCACCGGTGATCTGTGGCCTCATTTGAAGTCTGCAACCTGAGCCCTTAGGCACTGTGATGTCATTTTCAGTCGCCAGAATGTGTCCATGCAATTCAAAATGGCCTCCCCCTGAGATGGTTGAAAACAGCTGCATTTTTCTGCTTAATTCATGTTTCACAAACGTAATATTAATCAGAGTTCCATGTTTGGACTAACATGCGAACATCACATGACCAAGCCCGGAAAACAGGTGAGCCTTGACGGTCGCTGCCTGAGCCCTGACAGACTGTGATGTCATTTTAAGTCGACAGCAAGTGGCAGTACAAGGCAAAATGGCCGCCCCTTGAATGGATAAATACTGGTGGATTTTTCAGCTTAATTCATAGTCCACAAATGCAATACTAATCAGAATACTGTGTGTAGACTCGCGTGGTCGCATAGAACACATTATTGGAAAGAACATTTTTGACTCAACTTCCCCCTTTAGTGAAATTTGACTCCTTGGAAGAAGAAGCACATCAAATCCAATGAAGTGGTATGCCTGCTTTCACCACTCCGAGTAAAACACCCACACTCACGCACAGATATTTACCTGTGACATTTCCTCAGGTGGGCCGTCTCATTGTTGGTCACCATGGATTAATGTCCACGCCGGCTTGCTCCTGCGTGATCAGGAAATTCAAAGCCATTGGTGGCATCATCCTCACTGCCAGTCACAATCCTGCAGGGCCGGACGGAGATTTGGGCATCAAGTTCAACACTGCAAATGGAGGTATGCAGGGGCATTGCTCAAGAGTAATAATATCCAACAAAATTAATAACTCAAGAGTCACTGAGCCAGACGGTACAAAGCCAAGTGCACAGTTTTGCTATGACATTTGAGAGTCAGGGAAACGTTTTAACACGTGGCTGAATGATTTCTTTTCGTTTCATCAAGGTCCAGCCAATGACGCCGTCACAAACAAGATCTATCAAATCAGCAGAACTATTGAGGAGTTTGCCATCTGCCCCGGGCTCAGACTGGATCTCACAACCGTGGGCAAACAGACATTTGATCTGGAGAACAAGTTCAAACCCTTTATAGGTGAATTAACTGAAACCAAAATGGACGAAAGTAACTTTATGAGGCTCTCGACCGGCAAAACTTAAAGCTTCTCTTTTCATTTTTTTGGGCGGTCGGGGGGTCGTTTCAAGTTGAAATTGTGGATGCTGTGGAGTCCTATGCTAACTTGATGAGGAACATCTTTGATTTTGCTGCCCTGAAGGAGCTCCTATCTGGTGAGAACCACATCACGATAAGACTGGATGCCATGCATGGAGGTGAGACTTTTTTGTTGTTGTTTTGCTTGAAAAAAAAAATCCCGCTTGAACCGCTGAGCAGAGTTTAGGTGTCATTCTATCACAGACTGATGAACATGTAAAATCAAGACTAACATGTGTCCATATCAGGTGACTATAAAGTCATACGGCCCCAAGCTAATGTCCACAGTGCAACTTCATCCAACAGGTAAGCCTCAGGTCCATGTTTGTCTGTTTCTACTCTCTAGTGGTAGGTCCGTATGTGAAGAGAATTCTGTGTGAAGAGTTGGGCTGCCCTGCCAACTCTGCTGTGAACTGTGTCCCAATGGAGGACTTTGGAGGTCAACGTCCCGATCCTAGCCTCATCTACGCGGCAGACCTGGTTGACAGCATGAGGGATGGAGAACCTGACTTTGGTGCAGCTTTCGATGGTGATGGGGTGTGTGCCCCAGATATTAAAATTCAACGAGAGAAGCCTAATTGCTGTGTTTTACATATCAAAGAAATCAGTCTTTGGCATCTGTGACTAAAATGAATGTGAAGTGGAGGTTTCTGATTTCTTTTTTCTGTTTGCTTATTGGCTCTCTAGGATCGAAACATGATCCTCGGGAAGCACGGCCTCTTTGTTAGCCCGTCTGACTCTGTGGCCATCATTGCTGACAACATCTTTTGTATCCCATACTTTCAGCACAGAGGGGTGAGGGGCTTTGCCCGCAGCATGCCCACAAGTGCAGCCTTAGACAGGTAAAATGTTTGGCGTGATTTGGATTGAACAGAACAGTGCATGTGTTTTGCTTTTTTTTTTTTTTGCTTCCTATACCTTCCAAAAATAGGACCAACCTCCACAAAAGGTTTTCAGAGAATAAAAATGATAATGAGTGTAAAAAATATAAATATAGCCCAGAGGTTTTGTGAAGAAGGGGCATCCCACTTAAAGCAGTAAGAGTCCGGCTGTGCCCAATAAATTTTAAATGACATCTGCAGTTTGACCCTGCAAAAAAGAAATAAATTTCCACGATTTTATGGGATTTAAGTGGATTGTGTTTGACTGTAGTGTTGCCATTTTGTCTATGACAAGCAATGCGCGAAAGCTCAGCTAGCTTGACTAAGCTTAGGTAAAGTGACCTTAAAATATATTCATCAAGTTTTGTGGTTTTGCTTCCATTTCAGTTCTATCGGTGTGTGCTTCAAATCATGTCTATTTCTGTATTTCTTGCAGAGTAGCCAAGGCAACAAAAATAGAGCTATATGAAACTCCCACTGGGTGGAAGTTCTTTGGAAACCTCATGGATGCAGGTCGACTGTCTTTGTGTGGAGAAGAAAGCTTTGGAACAAGTACTACCTAAGCCTTAGGTTTTATTCTTGAATATTTTTCAGCGTATGATTGCTTTGTTATATATCATGTTTCAGGTGGAGACCATATTCGCGAAAAGGATGGGCTTTGGGCTGCGCTGGCGTGGCTGTCCATCCTTGCCACACGAAGACAAAGTGTGGAAGACATACTTAAATACCATTGGCTAAAATATGGAAGAAACTACTTCACCAGGTCTGATGTGGCCAAAAGCAGCCGTTTTCAAAGACTTGACACATTTAGCCCGTCAGTGAGTCAAGGAATCAAAAGTGAGAGATATCAAACTTATTTGCTAATAGGCCGCGCGGTGAACAAGTGTTTAGCACATCTGCTTCACATTTGATTTCTAAGGTTGGCTGTTTTTAATTGTGGCCTGCGATTGGCTGGCGACCAGCACAAGGAGCACCTCCGCCTCAGAGTCAGATGGGTTAGGCTCCAGATCACACAGCCATGATGAAGACAAGCGCTTTAGATTACAGATTGGTCAAACAACAGTAGAAAAACAGACATTTCCTCAGTACGTTACTGCCCTCTAGTGGGTGTTACATGTTCTTGCAGGATCTGACAGTCGTTTCGTGTGAATTGTATGACTGTAGTGTAAAATACAACAGAATTCACGAGAAACAGGACTTAAGATGGGGAATATTACGTTAAAATCATTTTTATATCACGAAGTTGTTTTGAAGTTGACCTGGGGGATCGCACTATTAAAAACCTCTCACTGTAACCAGAAGAAAGCATAATCCATTATGTTGACATAGTTTTTGTTGTTGTTGTTGTTGTTTTTTGGGCTCCAGATATGATTATGAGAACATAGATATTGATGCAGCCTGTGAAATGATGGAGGATCTCGAGATCATGATTGCAGACAAATCATTTGTGAAGCGGCGATTTGCAGTGGAAGACAAAATCTACCAAGTGGAAATGGCAGACAATTTTGAATACACAGACCCAGTTGACAGCAGTATCACACGAAACCAGGTACTAGTGTGCAGCACAAAGACATACAACTGCATAGTATGACAAGTTCTGGAAGGCGCGACTGGAAATTGACATTTCCTTCGTAGGGTCTAAGGATCAACTTCTCTGATGGCTCTCGGATCATCTACAGACTCAGTGGTACAAGTAGTGGTGGGGCCACAGTTCGAATCTACCTGGAAAGCTATGAGAAGGAACATGTCTTTGAAGAGACACAGGTAAATAAAAAACATAAAACAAAATCCTTTCAAAAACATAAATATCAATTGCTTTGGAAAGAAAAAATAATTGTATTTATTTTAATATTCTGTAGAAATTTAAAATAAAATGAGGTTTTTCTGGTGAATACTTATCTGTTAGCTGGTCACATGAACACATGAAAATGTGAAGGAAAAAAATTAATTGAATGAAATATTAGCTATTTGCATTATTTCTTAAATGTTGATGAACATATCTGTTAGCAAGTGTTTGAATGTTCTTAATTTGTTTTTAAGTGTCTTTGTTTTTATAGGTCTGATTTTTTTATTGCGTACAACACTTTGTATGCAGCTGTGGTTGTTTTAAAAGTGCTTTATCAATAAAGTTGAGTTGTTACAACAAATCTCCAAATGTAAAAAAAAAAAATGTATCCAATATGAGAGCATTTCATAATACTGCAACTTTCCAAAGTATTTTGTCATCGTCTTAATAAACTTAATAAACATTGACTTGTTTATCATATCATTTATGTGCTGACCAAAATTGTTTTTTGTGGGACAGGTAGTGCTGTCACCGCTGGCTACAATTGCTATCAAGATTTCCCAGCTTCATCACAGGACTGGTCGAACTGGTCCATCAGTCATCACATAACCAAACCCGCCAGTTGCTTTTATTTTAAACATGAACTTTCTATTTCAAGTTTTTATTCTAAAGTGGCAACAAAACATGTCTTTCAATTTGAGGCAACAGTATTATGATTGCACGTGACTGTGCCACATTAAACAGCTCTTTATTTTTGGTTTGACTGACTGACCTTTCCTCTTTTATTTATTTTTTCCTCTCAGGTAGTTGGGACTAGTTTAGTCAACGTTTTACAGTCAAGTCAGTTTTTTATTTTGCTGCGTCTGTTTTACAAAGGTAATAAGATAAGAAAACCTTAATTTGTCAATGGAGAAATTCCCAATTTCCAGCAGCAAAATTATGAAAGGGAGAAGTAGAAGAACAAAAGTGTGTGTGTGTGTGTGTAGAAACAAAAAGTATGTACTTAAATATAAAGTATAAATATAAGCATATTAAAAATGGGTGAGTTACTGTCACAATCTATCAATCTGTTATTTGTATTTGTGGAATAATATCACATGATCACCCCTAATGCTTCATACTGGAAAATTGAAAGTCATCAGGGAATGACGTCCGTAAATTGGAGTGAAATTGGCGGGTGCTGAGGGATAAAAAGCCAACTTGCTCATGCATACACAACACCTTATCTCATAGCAGGTGACATTTGCACAATAAAACTTATTTGGAGACTTGCACCATTTTAATCACAACAATTAATAGAAGCAAGACAAGGCGAGGCAGCTTCATTTATGGAGGGCATTTCATATATAAGTTAACTCAGTGTGCTTCACATAGTTACAAAACAACATTTAAAGGCAAAATAATTTAAATAGACTAGTGCGGCAGCGTAGAACAATTTTTTGCGTTGACTTCTGCTTTAAGTTCATTATTTCTTTGTCTTTTTTTAAGTTTTGTCATTTTATTTCCAAATAATTCTAGAGATACCACTGCAAATGGAATGCCAAGTTAAAAAAAACATACACTGGTGGCACAGCATTATTTTTTTCATCCCAAAATGCTTTGCGCTGGTTAAGGGGGCACAACATATTTGACGGGATATTGAAAAATATTGAGAACCACTGCCCCGTTTGAGGTACGATTTGGCGACTGTATTAAAACGTTTCAACAAATTCCAAACGAACCTTTGTGACATGAAGAAGTTGACGTTTATTTCGTAAAAGCATTGCTTCGCTTTGGCTTTCACACGAAACTCCTTTCGGCGCGTTCAAAATGCGTCAACTGAAAAACGAGTCAGTCATAACAGTCAGTCGAGTCGAACACGTTATCATGCGATGACATCAACGATCTGGACACGAGTGGCTCTGTGACAATCTCAAGGCCACATTTACAATCGGATGACCAATAAACGAAGTCAGGACAAAGTTGAACTATTGTGGTCGTCGGGGGAGCTCGTAAGCATCAACATTGTCTGTTAAGTCACGTGACCAAGGACAAGGAAGGGAAACCCTGACGAGCGAAGTAGGAAGTCCGGGACGTAAACAAAACCAAAAAGAAACCAAAATCCCCAACTAGTTGTCCACAATGCCTGGTATCAAAGGTATTTGCTTTAGTGTGCAAACTGACTTTTGGATGGTGCAGATAATTTGTTACTTTTGACTTTTCTCAAGTGGTTTAGCTGCATGAGGAACTTAGCGTCGCGTTGATGTCTGAAAGTTCCGACAGTCACTACAGTTATTCCTGATGTGCAGCATGTGTTATGTTTTAACAAGTATCCGATGTCGCTTTGAACAATTTTCTCATGGATACTTTTCTCTTCCACTAGACCTGGTCGGGTTGTCTTTTGGTGGCGCCATCGGCCTGACGTTTCTGTTTCTCGGTTGTGCAGTGGAACAATATGGGTACGTTGTTTGATCGAACAAAGGCATTCAACAACCTCGCCTCATAAAAGCCTCGTTTACCAGAGTTACAGTTAAGAGGACATATAAAATATTCCTTTGGGAGTGACAACGTTACAATGAAAATTATTGATATTGTTAAGGGATGCAGTCACGTGACTTTGTAGCGGAAAGCACGGTTACCAGCGGTCGGCTGTGAACACGAAATTGCAACGTAAAGCAAGCCAAGTCTGACAAGCAAACCGCACCTGTAGCCTGTTGCAAACATTAATACTTAATAATGACATGTCTGCTGAGAATGTGTATTCTGTTCAAGTTTTGTACGTTTTTAGCTTGTTATTATCTCAAATATTGATTCTGAACTAAACAGGTGATATATATGGCACACTTACGTACTGTTCCTGCATTTTTTTATTTCGTATGTAAGGATGGGCGAGTAAGGGTACCGGCCTTAATTTTAGGTACTCACAGAGGCTGCTTTTAGCAGCCAACAATACTTAAAAGGCGAGGTCAACCCTAAAATTATATTTACAATCATATGTCTCTATAGCTCCATTAGTCAAGACACAATATTCTGATGAATATTACATTTGTGGAATATGAATGAAGCAGCAAATTCCAGCCTGCTTTTATCCATCTCAGACTACGGACATTTTTCCACTCTGTCGACGGAAAATGATATCGAAGTTGCTCAGAGCTGAGGTAATGAAACTCTGATGTCATTTTTAGTTGATTGCAAGTGGCAAAATGACCGCCCCCTGAGAGGGATAACAACTGGTAAAAAAAAAAATATATACTCCTATATAAAACACTAACAACCATAAATTCAGTCAGAATCTGGATAAATAGCTATCATAATTCACAAATAGTCCTATAAGATCAAATTATCTGGTTTCTTTTTTGTCGTCCCCCCCTCCCAGAGTTTACTGGCCATTGTTTGCGCTGATTTTCTACATCCTGAGTCCGCTCCCACTCATCATAGCCAACCGTGTCAGTGATGACACAGACTCCTCCAGCAATGCATGCAGAGAACTGGCCTATTTCTTAACAACTGGAATCGTCGTGTCAGCTTATGGCTTCCACATTGTCCTCGCTCATAGTAGCACAGTGAGTTCCCTCTCAACATGATGAGATATTTTGATAGTTTGGTTTGGTGACTATTCTGTCGACAGAACATCATTTTCTCACCACCCTGGATTTCTGGCGCAAATAATGTCAGAGAGAGATATTTTTATAAGTGCTGAATCATTGCGATCATTATTAAAAAAGTTAAATTGTACATACTTTCAGCTTTTCATGACTAAAAATGATCCACTTTCCTGAAAGTCGAGTAATTATTTTTGTGTGAAATCAAAATGGATCATTTGCAATATGCAATATTATTGCAATGAGCAATATTTGTGCTTATTTTTTTCCGACGGTTCACAAACCAAATCAGTAACTGAATCTTAATTAGATGTTTGTGCATCTTTTTGCACTGTCATCTTGAAGTAGTGTCATGTTTTTTCAATGAAGGGATGGAAATGGAAGCAGTTTTTCATCCGATTAATCGTTAGATTAATCATTGTAGCACTTCACACATTTACTGTGTGTCTATTTTTTGTTGTTGTTGTTGTCGTGTGTTTAGTTTTGCAGTCAACTCCCAACTGGGGTGTTAATAAACATCTTTAAACATAAGCAGGGTGCTTTCACAATATAGGAACTTGCATACACACACCGCACCATTCGGCATGTGAATTGTTGTGTTTCGATTCGAATGTTTCTATGGTTTGTCAGAAGCCAAAATGGAACTCCAAATTAAGTTTATTACCCGTGCGATCCTCGGATACGGCCACTTTTAACATCCTTGTTTCTCACTTGCAGATCGAGTGGGGTGCCTGTGGTCTTGCGCTGACAGGAAATACGATCCTCTTCATCACAATCTTTGGCTTTTTTATGGTGTTTGGAAGAGGCGACGAATTCAGTTGGGAACAGTGGTAAAGTGTTTTTGTTGGAAGTGGGCAGACACAAGGATGAATAGATGGTCTGACTGACGGTCGGTCGGGTGGGTGTCTTGGCAGCAGAATATGCAATACAGTAATCCCTCGCTATAACACGGTTTATCTTTCATGACGTCGCAGTTTCACAGATTTTTTTGGTGCAGTTTTTTTGTACAGTGCAATGTGGTCTGCATCCTGATTGGCTCAGGAATTGTAGGCTAATGCCAACAGTCTTCCGCGACTCATCGCTGTAGAGCTTGCCAAATTTTCTCCATGACCAAACCCACAACGTCGACGAAATATTCTGTACAGTATTTCTAAAAACCATCAGTTGTTTGTAAGAAAATGTTTATATTTTTGGGGGGGGGGGGGCGGCTATCATGCTTGGGCCTAGTTTCATTCAATACAGTATTGTGTTGTGTATGCAATATTTGTAAATAATTGTACAACTTCACGGATTTCATTTATCAAGGTTTTTTAGGGAATGTAACCCCCGCGATAAATGAGGGATTACTGTACTCAATTTTGATTTGAGCGAGGCAACCAAATTTGAAACATGTCGGCTGTCTTGTCATGGTCTTAATTATGGCCTGACACAAAGCCTTGGGCTCTATTATTGTGCCTTATATGTGGGACACCAGAGCCAAACCGTCAACCTACATAACTTTAACCACATAATTTTATCTCTAAACCTGTGTTGGCTTACATTTTTTTTTAAGCTACTCGGTCTGATCAATGGACCGCAATAATCAAACCACACTGCCCAGCTCGCTGTGTTGTTGCATTGTCTTTACCATTGCAATGGGGTCCGGCTAATGTAGCTGTACCGCTTCTTTTAAAAAAGTCATCCTTGTTCATGCGACATCTGACAAACACAAGTTGGATGTCCAGGAGTGATGTTGATGTATATTGCCAAAGAACATCATTTTTTTTCCCCCTGGTATTTTTAAAGCACTCAATTATGTTTTTGTGCAATCCTAAACATTCTCACCAAAGATCATACGTAAGATGGAACCTATTTATATTTACCACCAATCTGTGTGCCGACCTGCCTGCTGAACATTTTGGGGAGGCACGTTTTTATTCATTCACTGTGTGAACATGTAGTCTGCTGTAGTCAAGTGTTTTCCCTATTTCTAAACAACAGCAATAGAATTTAGACGTTTTACAGGGTGACCCAAAATGATTGCAACCAGCACTACAGCTCATCAAATCGTTGTTGATCATGGTATTTATCTAATTTTTCAGATTATTCAAAAGGAAGGCATAGCAAAAGGAACCTTCAATAGCTTTTTCTGAAAAACGCCTTGGACAACTGAGCAGAGGACGTTTTGCATGGACATCTATTAGACCAGGTCATTGAAATCTGCGCAGGTGAAATTTGGAAGGAAGTTCAAGTTCAATTGATACTTGGAAAAACTCTTGATTTACAGATGGGACAATAAATTAAGGACCAAAGGAAGGAGCACTAAAGATGAAGAGGTCCAAAAGACATGCTAGCCAAGATCGGAGCTTTTCCAAGGGAGGAAGGAGTGTGTGTGTGTGTGTGTGTGTGTGTGTGTGTGTGTGTGTGTGTGTGTGTGTGTGTGTGTGTGTGTGTGTCGCCATGATGGACATTTGGAGCCCCTTTTGGAAAGGAGTTAAATTTTTAACCACATGGACTAGAGAGCCGTAATTTTCAGGACTGAATTGTTATTGACTCAGATATGGATTGCAGTCATTTCGGGTCACCCTGTCCATTTTGAGTGGTGGTCCATCATAAGAAAATGAGTTAAGGGCATCCAAAAAGAAAACCAATGTTGGTGTTTTGATTACCGTTGAAATTCAAATTATGAGGCAATACGGCATGTTTTCTCTGCTGCATTTTCATTAACTTCTTATAGGCAACCTGATTAAATGACGGCTCATTTCCTGAAACGCGGCTCTTTTCCTCACATGTACAGTATGTCTCATCTCGACTCAAGGGTGTCAATTAGGTCTTCCAACACTAACGAGTGCTTAGACTCTGAAAAGTATTTTTATAAGCTCTTGACTGAATTTTGTTTTCTCACACTTATTAAAATTGTATTGGAAAATAAAAATGCCTAAACTTTGTCTTGCTGTTTTGTTCAGTGAGTCTGGCCTCTCTTGGGCAGTGCTGATGGGTGCCGCATGTACATTGAGTTAGACGCTACTGTCCACTGTCCAGAATGCACTTTGGGGATACAATGTTTATTCCTTAAATGCACTTTGACTGTGAGAAAAAAAAAATCCTACTTCATAAATGATATTTTTTATGGGCAACAGGATTCAACCATAATGTCCCTGAGAGGATACTTAGATGTTCTGTGAAGCACGACTTGATTCCTGAATGTATTTCCTTGAGATGTACCCTGTAAGAACTAGAGAACAGTCACGGTAACACGATAGTCTTTTTTTTTTCTTCTTTTTGATCAGAGATGCAAGTGAACTCTCATTCATTCATTCATTTTCTGATCCGCTTATCCTCACAAGGCTTGCGGGGGGTGTTGGAGCCTATCCCAGCTGTCTTTGGGCAGTAGGCGGGGGACACCCTGAACCTGTTGCCAGCCAATCGCAGAGCTCACAGAGACGAACAACCATCCGCGCTCACACTCACACCTAGGGATGATTTTGAGTGTTCAATTAGCCTGCCATGCATGTTTTTAGGGTGTGGGAGGAAACCGGGGTACCCGGAGAAAACCCACGCAGGCCCGGGGAGAACATGCAAGCTCCACACAGGGAGGCTGGAGCTGGAATTGAACCTGGTACCTCTGCACTGTGAGGTCGACTCGCTAACCACTGGACCACCGGGCCGCCCAATGCAGTCAAATCTTTGCATATGCCATTATGCCATGACTTGGATTCAAACCACGATTGCTGCGACCACAAGGGTACTAACCACTACACAATCATGGCCTGTGAACTCTTCTCGATGAATTTATTGCACTGACGATTACACATTTCATTGCAAAACCTCGGCATTTTGATGACTTTCACACGAGATCTCCTGCGCTACAGTGACATTGAACATGATGTTAGTGAGAAAGAAAAAGTGAATATGGCAAAGATGGAAAGGGCACTGGGACGCTTCACTTGTTGGACAGCTGTTGCTTGGCAACAGCCGTGGCATTCATATTGTTCGCCAAAACGTGGCCTTGAATCCAACACATAAAACTATACTAGAGTAGCATTAGATGGACCTATTTTGGGTGGTTCTGAAATGTGGAATCCGCTTGACTGTCATTAATGAACAGTAATCAAACAGGCTAGCCATCCGCTAAAAGTCATTTGACGGTGTCGGTTCTACAGCTGCTTGGCCAGACGGATTCATATTGTACTCCGGCTGTTGTGTCGGATGGATCCCGGCGGGAGTGGGGCGGCGCGAGCCGGCGGAGCACACAGGCATTGGCTCGCGGAGGGATTTGCGTAGCCGGTGACAGAGCCAATCGATAGGCTCGTTGGGCTCGCGTGGGGTAACGAGCGCGAATCGCCCGAATAAAAGGGGCGACTTCCTACAAACGAGAACTAGTTGACAGACCGAGGGCTGAACTGGGAACATTCGTCGAACGACACCTTTGGGTAAACCGCTCTCTCTTGAGGTATACACACTCGAAAATAATGATTTCAGAATGTGTTTTTATTATTTTTTTTACTTCACCCATTTCTGTTCTGTGTCCACTTTTGCAATATACAAACACGCAGTACAGGGAATCCGTAATGATTGGCTTTATTTACTTCGTTCGACTTTGATGTAACGTGCTTTTTTTAAATTTCCATGTTGAAAACCTAACTTACAACATCTCTTCGTGTAGTTGGCAATTTCCTTCTGAAGATGTGGACAGAATGCAGCCCACACGCCATTGCCTAATGATGCAGAGACAAGTTTATGGCACAGCTCTGTCCCGAACATGGTCATATTTGTGGGAATCTATTTAGCATCTTTCTGTCCCGAACATGGTCATATTTGTGGGAATTGGATTTAGCATCTGTGGGGGAGATATGCACTTCCAGTCCAGTACATAAATGATCCATTAAGAAATTAGGTCAGACAAGACGTGTGTGATTTAATTTAGTTGAACTGTCAGCAGATTTAGGAGTAATATTCATAATGATAATGATAACTCTTTTTATAGTGGTGATTGGTGGTAGGAGCAGCAGCAGTGGCAGCTTATCAGTGTCAGTGGTTTAATGAGACATGGCATTGTTTTATGTTAATGTGTTTTAGTTATTAATAAGGGATGGGCAAGTACTGTACCATTACCCGGTATTGGTATCGAGGCGATACCTGGCGTTATTTCATTGTATTGATAACCGCAACCCTTTTGTGGCCGTTTTGCAATAAGGTACTTGAACATACATGTCTGACAGATGCCCATTAGGAATGTATTTGTTTGTTGCGTTTCCTTTTATTTAATGTTCTACACAAAATATATATTTTATGAACAATTGGAAACAAAGCTTATAGAAAATTGCCATTAAGTTAGGGAATCTTTAAGGAAAATGCTATATTGGTGTATGTAGGGCTTTCTTTAAAATTATCTGTCATTGTTCTTTGGGGGAAATTATATTTCTTAAAAGTACTAGTGGCACTGGTACTCACTATGGGTATTGGTGACTGATCAAGAGTTCAGTATTCGTACTGGTATGGTAAAAATGTGGTATCTAACATCCCCATTATTAATTTATTGTTTTAATAAGTCTTTGTTTTGAATGTCAGATTTTGACTTTATGAACAGCACTTTGTAGGTCGGCTTTGGTTGTTTTAAAGTGCTCGATCATTAAAGGTGAGTTGAGTAAAACAAAGAATTAGCCTATATCAGGGGTCTCAAACTCGCGGCCCGAGGGCCATTTGTGGCCTACATGTTGACATCAAAGCTTAATATTACTGCAGGCCCCTCGTTTTTTTGCCGTGCCATTGCCCTGGGTTTATTTATTTATTTTCAAATCTCTTATGGATTACCATATATCAGGCTCCTGACAGTTTTCGGCGAAACGTAATTGTGAAGTTGACACCAAGTAGAAGGAAAAATTTATATCCTGTCAGCCGGTTTTTCAAAGCCTGCCGTGAAGAGAAAAGTTGGTGATGAAAACAGTTTGTTGCTGTCAAAAGCTAACTGAGGGGAGACTCCCATCAAGACTGGCTCAGTCAATCACAGGGCACATAGAGAGACAGAAAACCATTCACGCTCACATTCACAGAACTGAACCCGCCACTGTCTGCGCTGAAGTCAGGCGAGCACACCACCACACCACAGTGCGCATCTCAATTCAAAGATAATGAATACTTGCTGTGTCTTAGTTGCCATTTAGCGATTGGGGATTGTATCTATGTGAGTGCTGTTGGAAACCAAGCATCACGTAAGTGGCTATAAATGCCGTCATGCTGTCATTCTGTTTGCCCCATACAAGGGAATTCACAGGTATGCTGTAGCCCTGAACATATGTGTAACGGAATCAGCATTATGAATGAGCAGTTTTGTATTTCTGGCTTTGTTATTCATACGGGCATCAAGAGGTGCTTTGACTATGTCACATGTATCTGTAGTTGGCTTTTTAAAGTGTATTTATTTCTTTATTTTACTTCCCCGTGGTTTATGCAGAATGCGGCCTCCAATTGTGTGACTGATTGCATGTGATATTTTTTGAGAATTGTAATTTCCTGACGAGCTGTTAGTCGAGAGGAGTGGAAAATGGTACTCAGTCGAGCAGAGATGATTGCCAAGGCTGAGCAATCCTAATTTGACTCATCTTTTTTCATTTTCATTATCATCCACCTCCTGCTCATGCCCGAATTTTGTTATTGCGATTCATGCATTATTCACTGACAGCTGTAGAAACGTGTAATAAATAAGTAGATACACACATCTGTGCCAAATACCTCGAGGGAATCATTATATTTAACTAAATACCAATGAAAACATTTCATTAACATCCTCAGCACATGCAGTTACATGTTTTTAAAATTAACATTAAGTCAAGTATTAAAATAGCATTTTTGGTCGGCAACACATTTAAACTGAAAAACGTTAACATTGACGCAAGAATCTTGGTAGCAGTTATTCAAATTATAATTTTTATAAAAACAAATCAGTCAGACGTGTAACGACTGTTCAATTAGTGAAAAATAAATGTTCTTGTCTTGTCAGTTCAAAGACAAGACAGGACTGGGCTGTGTTGAGGAACAGGCTGTTGTTATAGCGTTAGCCTGTTCTCCTCAGTTACAATCTAATTGCTGATTAAACAAAACCATGCTTTGCCTCGAGCCGCACTCACTTCTTAAGAATCAATTGTACCAGAATTTAGATTGGGCCATTTACAAGAGTGACGTAAATACACTCCCTCTTGTCTTCTTTCGTCTCCATTTCTACCAATTGACTACGCTGAATGTAATTTTGTTTTTGTGATCTAATCTTTGTGTTGCTCAGTTGCGGTTCACGAATATGCCATTTGGAACGGAATATGGTCTTTTCTCCGTAATTGTAATTTATCAGTTGGGCTCTCATGCTTAGTGATGTTGATGAGGGTTACTGGTGTTCCAATCCAACTCCGAAGGAAATACTCTTCATGGCCTTGCATTTCTGGCCACTACTAAAGAACGTCACCATGGAGATGGCATATTGCAGGGTTCACATGCATTGAAATTATTACAACACTCTTCAAACTACTGTTTTCATTGTTCAACGTTGTTGTTTCGCGCGCTGAGCACAATTGCATTTAGCAACACATACCAATACCAATTACAGAGTGCAGTCTAATAAGAAGATCCGCCTTGAGCTAATGGGGGTGGGTACTTTAAATTCCAATCAAATAGGCAATAACACCACATAAGGCACTGATCGTTTGGAAAGGGCCAATTTCAAATATATACAAAAGATGTTTGAATATCCCGATTCAATTATGAACAAACAACAATTTGCACAAGTAACAAAGTTCAGTTGAAAGGAAGCATTATTACGTTAATTGAATTCAGCGTTAGCTTAATGGTCTTGTTTGGATTCTTGTTTTGATTTTTATGGTAAAGCAACGTTGCTGGTGGTGGGCGGTTTCTTTTGGTCTCCTGGTCTTTAGTCTTTCACTGTTGTTGCTGCTGAACAGGAATGTGTTGACACAGATTCTCCCATAGACACAGCAAAAATCATCAAGATTATTTGCTAACGTGGCAGTGACAGAGGCGCTAGCGTCAAGTCAACTTTATTGTCAAATGTGCTACATGTGCAACATACAGCACAGATGAAATTACTTTCCTCTCAACCACAGGAGAGAGAGGAGCCGCTGCGGGTGCCCGCATCGCCATCAAAAGAAATGTTAACATAAAATGACAAAATAATACAACACAACAAATAAGACACAGACAGTCGTGCAATCTCAACCCCTTTTTTGTGTATACACTTTGTTGTTTGAAGCAGTTATAGATGAAAGAGGAGCGAATCAAAGTGTCCTTTCCTCAGTGGATCAAAGACGTCATGCTGAAAATGTGCACACGTCTGCTACTAGCTAAGTTCGAAAGCAACAAGAAGCTGTAGCGTCTTATTTTTTACATTTTGCACAACTCCCATTTATTGTGCAATAATCTAGTGTAACATGTATTTGTTAAATATTTTGCAAAACATTTCTGTCTGAATTTTGTGGGGGCTTGGAACGGTTTAGGGCATTTACTTGGAAAACGCATCTCTACTTACAAAATATACTAATTGGAAAAGAACTGCATCGAATGATGAATAACCCAACTGCAGTTCTTCTTTATACTCTCCCTGTGCAGGTGTCGATTTCCAAAACAGGAGAAGAAAGAAGAAACTGTCGTTCGGGAAGTCATGATGAAGAAAAGCCGCAGTGTTCAAGGAGTCACTTCGGGAGACGTAAGTATTGATTCTTCCCGTTAGTCTTCAATGCAACAAGATTCCAGTGATCCAGGATATTTTGATTACATGGCCCACTCACGATATTATTAAAAAAAGAAAATTCATTATGACTCAAAAGGTTTGTCGTTGTACAATTAGGTTTGTCGTTGTACAATTTCCTTTGGAGGGCAGTTTTAGGATACACTCCGGCAGCACGAGTCCGTGTGTCTATGTATAGTTTGTGACTCAAAAAGATGACTGCACTGTCCACCCAACCGTAAACAGGCGTCAAGTGTGTGCGTGTGCGTGTGCGTGTGTGTGTGTACGAGATTGTCGTGAAGATGACCGAGTGAGGCGAGAAGAGGACATAGGGTGTTAAAAGACAGCCTTCGCCAGGATGACATTTTGGGCACAGATTCAGTGGAAACATACGAGGAAGAAGGACAGATCTGACAGAGAGGCCCATCTGTTGCTTCTCTACTCCTTTCTGTTTATGACTGCGATGCCTAGCCAGATCATTTACTCCGACAATGTCCAATAGGAGCTTGAAGGACAGGCTTTGATCCCCATGTCTGGCTCCTGTCTGACTCTCTCTTGATGTATCCGATCTGTTTTATGCTGAAAACATTTGTATCAAAAAAAGTGATCCATTTTATGCGAGAATTTGTATATGGCAGAAACAGATAAAGGTAAAACAATGTTTTGTTTTGTTTTAATCGGATAATACTTGTACCGATTAGTACCAAGACGCTTATCATAACATCGCATCCATTTTGTATATCTTTAGCTTTATTAGGCTCTTGGTCAGTCAATGGCAGATCACGTAGCGCACATGTACCATTTTATTGATGGGACTATGAAATGACTGAGAATATTTACAGTACTTATAGTTTTGGAGACACCTGATGAGTACCCCTGGTTGGGAAACACTTATATAGGCTAGATAGTGAATAGCCAAGAAAACTCTTTCATCATCCACTTCACCTCCCTTCAACATTGGGGCTTTGCTTTGTTCTGCCTTTAATCTTTGCTCAGTTCCTTTCATGACCATATTTCGCTATTGATGATAAAAAGGGTTTTTCAATGTGATGGTTTGTATTTTACGGCAATCAGGGGCGCATCAAAGACTGAAAACACAAAATAAAATTGCAATGTTTCATCCAGCGGCTGCCATTTCAACCCAGAGATCAATAAAGTGCTCGAATTATGTTTGGATGTCCGTAATGCAATCAATAGCCAATTGAGATACAATTCTGCTGTTCTACAGTAAAATATTGATGAGGATATTTGTAAATTGGTTCTCGGTTGAAAGAGATATTTCAGGAAGCATGCGTTGCATCCCGAGACTCAATTTTCACTTTTTTTTTTTTTGCCCCGGGTACAAGTAATACTACACCCTGTGTCTCAAAAGCAGACACGATATATCAGACCGATTCCATTTCCAAGAAGGCCCTGCAAAGTCAGCAGAAAGACTCCTAGAGAGTAGCAGACTTCCTTACTCCTTTTTTTTAATCAGGTCATTTTCAAAATCACATACAGGCACATTTATAATATTAACTATATTACAAATAATGCCTAGTGACTTATCAGCCTTCCTCATTTGCTACGCCAAGACTTGAAATCCTTTTTTTTTTTTCCTCCCCCTCTATACGTCGTCGTCTTTTCTCTTTCAGTTTGACTGGTCTGAACTTCAATTTGATGTCATTTTCTATCAGGACAGGAAGGATCCTCCTGGGTGGCAATACCCCTCGGGCAACACTCTCGGAGTAGAGTTGTGCAAAGTCCATCGGCGCTTTTCTGGCAACCTGCAGCTGCCGCCGTTGTCATGGCGACAGGCGGAGAAGGAGCGGGAGCGAGGAAGTTTGGTATCCCCGGTGGAAGACCCAGTGACTCACGCCAGGCCGACTAGTCTACCAATCGCTTCTCTGCCCCGGATTGACATTACAAAGGCTGACCCCAACAGGTGAGGCTTTTGGCGTTCAAATTCAAATTGAAAGTAAGTGAAAGTGAAATATTGGAAAAAGGATGAAAAAACGGTGACTTCTATTTAAAAAAAAAAAAAATGAACGCCAATATGACATTTTCTTTGAATCATTGCACTTTATCACGGGTGATTTATAGTCACGTGTGTTACTTTGTGCCCGCAAGATCACTTGATTACTTGGTGATGAGCAAGCATTAATGAACAAAGATGCCCCATGGCATTATTCTAGTGGGACCAAGTTGTTTGACCAGCAAAGCATACGTATTTATTTGTGCAAGATAGTTGCATCTCAAATCTAGGTCAAGGACAGACTGGTGGCTATATTTTAGATTTTATGAAACCACCTCTCGACTTGATGGGATTTGTGAGAATGTTACACAAGACATCACGCATGGCATCCTGTTGAGCTTCACGTTTTTCTTCAAACCTTATAAATGCTCTTTATGGCCTCTTGCCTTTAGCTTGGAGGGAGAGAATGGCCCATCATTGTGCTGCAGTCCCTCAGACCCTCAAGCCTCCCCGAATTCGGGACTGGTTCTTCATCCCAACCTGGCGAGCCACGGCCAGCGTCGAGAGTCCTTCCTCTACCGCTCTGACAGCGACTACGAATTGTCCCCTAAGTCCCTTTCTCGAAACTCTTGCATCGTTGGAGAACTGTGAGTCGTTTTCCATCGTTATTGCTTGGGACAGTTTATTTATTTATTTTTCTAATCATTGTTTTTGCCTTTCATTTTAGCCACGGAGAGGACTTGATAGTGACCCCCTTTGCCCAGGTAAGTCCGTGAGCATAAACAAGCATACATCAGTTCCCCCTGAGCCTTTTTTTTTTTTTTTTTTTTTTTAAATGCAAAGCTGTTGCATTTGAGTCACGTTAACTTTTTCTGCCATCTAGTGGCTTCTAGTTCAGTTTCAGCTTTTAATTGTTCTGTTTTACTCAATTGACTCCATATTATTATATTTTAGCCATCCATTGCTAATCCTCAGTAAGGTTGCGAGGTGTGCTGGAGTCTCTGACTTACAAAATCCAGAATGTATTGTTTAGGTCGCTTAACTTTTTTAAAAATAGAAAATGAATAATAATATGTTACCCAGTGGTCAGACTGGTTAGTGCGTTGGCCTCACAGTGCAGAGGTGCAGGATTCGATTCCAGCTCCGGCCTTCCTGTGTCGAATTTTTCCATATTCTCCCCATGCCCGCGTGGTTTTCCCCCGGGCATTCCGGTTTCCACCCACATTCCAAAAACATGCGTGGTAGGGTAATGGAACACTGTAAATTGTTCCTAGGTGTGAGTGTGACCATGGATGGTTGTTCGTCTATCACTGGCAACCAGTTCAGGGTGTACCCAGCCCCTGAGGATAAAGCGGATCGGAAAATGCGTGGATGCATAATATTATGTTAACTGTGTTAAGTTTCCATTTTAACTGTCTCCATATAGAAAAAAAAAACAACAACTTGGAAGAATAGTCACTAACTGACTGTGTCATGGCTAAGTGAAGTCCTTGCATGGCACAGCATGACTTCACTTCCAACCCAGAGACAGCGAGGCTGCGATTCGTTGTCTGTCTCTGTGCGCGCCATGTGATGGACTGATGACCAGTTCAGGGTGTAGTCGACCTTTTGGCGGATGTCAGCTCGAATTGGCTCCAGATCACACTAACTGGAAATCAGCATATCATAATCATCAGCATATCAAAGTCAATGCCAGTTTTTATTTTCTGTTCTGTATTCGGTAATGAGAGCCAAACAAATGATTGCTGTGCATGTTGCATGACACTTAAAAACGGAATCCTTCTCCTACTTTGTTGCTTTTTGATAACAAATACTGTACACAGTTTCCGCTTCTCATCAAGTTGAATTGTTTTCCCAGGTTCTGGCAAGCCTTCGAACGGTCAGGAATAACTTCACCACATTGACAAATGCGCAGTGTGCATTCAATAAGTAAGTCAATAGTTTTTGCTTTTTGGGGGGTTGGAGTTTCGCACAGTAAAAGGTTTTTACTGCAAGCTTCAGTAATGTCTCAGTATTAAAGATTCTTGTGGAGGCTCTCAGTCGTACAGGAAAGTTCCATCGTAGAAAGGGTTCTGTCAGTCGTCATCTGTACTTGTGGGTAAAAAACAAAAAACAAAAAAAAAAAAAAAAAAAAGGACGTTTCGCTTCTCTCACAGAAGCTTCGTCAGCGGTAGACAACCCTGAAGTCTCCGTGAAGACTCCGGGAAGTTGCTCTGCGCTAAAAGGCTGAGCGTGGCCTGTTTGAGGACTGGGTGGGGATGGTTAGTCACGCCCCTATGGTGAAGAGGCCCATTGGTTTCTAAACTCCCTATCATTGGGTCTTGATAGCTGAAAGAACTAAACTGTTGCCGGAACACATTTGTGAACTGTTAGAAATATGCCTCAACACAACTTACTTCAAATTCAGGGACACGTTTTACCACCAGGTCTTTGGATGTGCCATGGGATCCCCTGTGTCTCCCATTGTGGCCAACTTGTACATGGAAGAATTTAAAAATTTGGCAATGTCTTCATACAAAGGTCCCCCACCAAGCCATTGGTTTAGATATGCGGATGACACCTTTGTCAAAATCAAAACAACGGAAGTTGAGGGATTCACCGAACACATAAATAATCTAGACGACAGCATCAAATTCACCAGAGAAGACGCAAAAGACAACGCACTGGCCTTTTTGGATTGCAAGGTCAGCTTAGAGCAGGACAAAACTCTTAAGGTTGAGGTCTACAGAAAACCCACGCACACAGATCAGTATTTGCATTTCAAATCCAATCACCCGCTGCAACACAAGCTAGGTGTAATTAGAACACTTGAACACAGCGAGCCAAATCTCCACCAACACCAAGTCGAGAGAGAGTGAGGTCAAACACATCGAGAAGGCATTGTCAGGGTGTAGCTACCCTAAATGACCTTTGGCAAAGTTAGGAAAATTAAAACAAACAGAGAGGAAACCAACCAACAGAGAGAAAAGAAGAGAAGGGGTGTCTGTGTACCTTATATTGCCGGCCTCTCAGAGAAAATACAAAGAATATTTCTACAACATGACTCTGAGAGGCCGGCAATATAAGGTACACAGACACCCCTTCTCTTCTTTTCTCTCTGTTGGTTGGTTTCCTCTCTGTTTGTTTTAATTTTCCTAACTTTTTTAAAGGAAGCGATTTTTGTTAAAAAATTTTCACCCTCTCTGAACCGTGAAGGAGGTATCAGATTTAACCTGTCTCCTATTTACAATAACTTGTTGACCAGTAAGGGACATAGACATGCTGATCAGGCTAACTGAAAGTAGCTATTCAGCCTTAGCCCAAACAATAGGCCTAATCAAGACCCAATGATAGGGAGTTTAGAAACCAATGGGCCTCTTCACCATAGGGGCGTGACTAACCATCCCCACCCAGTCCTCAAACAGGCCACGCTCAGCCTTTTAGCGCAGAGCAACTTCCCGGAGTCTTCACGGAGACTTCAGGGTTGTCTACCGCTGACGAAGCTTCTGTGAGAGAAGCGAAACGTCCTTTTTTGCTTTTTTTGTTTTTTGTTTTTTGTTTTTTACCCACAAGTACAGATGACGACTGACAGAACCCTTTCTACGATAGTATTAAAGATTCCAATGTTTCTCACTTGGGGGCGCCGCTGTATCAAAAACATTTCATTCAAAATTCCTCGAAGAAACATCTATTGACCAATACCAAGTGAAGAATAAATTTAACATAAATATAAGCACTGTTTTCTTGTCATGTTAAGTCTGCTATTGAATGCTAAGTTGCTTTATAGCTGTTTTGGAGGAAGGAGGAATGAACTTCATTCACAATAATATGAAACAGAAGTCGATCATATGAATCCAGTGAGAGGGAAAGAAAAAAAATGTCACGCTGAAAAATATTACATTTTTCTTTTTCTTGTATCACTTTTTTTTTTTTTTTTTTTTTGTGACCTGTTGATGTGTCATCGTAGGAGGTCCCCTGCTGCAAATCAGTCTCCGGTGGCAAAAGTCTGTCTGTCAGGTAAGTTCAGCCTCTTACTGCCTGCAAGAGCAGCTCACTTGATGACCTTCCCAGAATTATTTGGTAACTCAAGGGAAGGGCTCACGTTGCGGCGTGCAATGACGTGCAGCAGTGTGTTTAGTCTGACGCTTTCAAGAATCACAAAGTCAGCTCAGCGAATGCTGTGACAAGCTCTGCTCAAGGTTTTATAATGAGCACAAAGGGGGATTTCCTGGGTACGTTGCGGTTCCCACCCGCATTCCAAAAATATACACATTAGGTTAATGAATTCAAGACTAAACTGCCCTAAAGTATGAATGTGAGTGTGGATGGTCGTTTGGCCCTGTGATTGATTGGCGGCCGGTACAGGACAGACCCTACCTCTGGCCTAAAGTCAGCTGCGTTAGGCCCCAAGTCACCCGTGACCCAAAGGAGGGTAATAGAAAATGGATGGAGGCATGTCCATGTAAAAAAAAATAATATTAATAATAATAAATAATAATAATGACGACAAAAGGTAACCTGTCACACAATAATCTTGCCACTAATGTCTTTTCATTTTCAGCTCAAAAATAACCATTCGCCAATTAAAAACTGACGTTGGCTGAAAATTAGGTCAGGGATTGAATCATTTGAGGCGTATAAAACATCAAAGTCCAAATTTCGAGTCTAAAGTGATGTTGTGAAAGTACAGATGGAGAGCAGGAGAGGAGGGAGTTATGGACATTGTTTCCTGCTGCACTGGTTCTTCAAGCCTGATTGACGTCAGCAAGGCCTTCAAAGCGGGCGCTCTCGACTTCCTATTATCACAGATGGGTCGCTGCAGCAGGAAAAAAAACAAGACAACGCTAAAGTCTCTAATTGTCTACGCCTCACTTCTCACAACCTTGACCGATCACTTATGCGTACAACTGTCCGTTAAGAAGAGGTGGGGGGGGGAAGACAAATTCGTCTCGCTTGCTGTTTTGAATGCAGTCTGCGACCCTCCCTTTTTCGCCATCGAATATGTCATCAGATACTTAAGAGAAAACAAAAGAACTCACACCTGCTCCTGAGTAATCGCAATTGTTCCTTTGTGCTCCTTTCTGTCTCATTTTCTCATCTGTCTGAACGGAAAAGGAGACCAGATTTTTCCTGTTTTGCATTTGTGTTCGCAAAAAAAAAAAAAAAAAAAAAAAACTCCCCTAACAGTGCTAAAAGATCCACTGCAGTCCATCTTGAATTACCCCAAGTAAGCAATGTGTGCTTTGGAACAAAGTCTTAGTTGGTCGGATTGTTGCATCGAGGGACATAGGGACTTCAGTAAAGAATAACTCGTCATTTTCAACCACTGAAATCAAATTTGATAAGGCAGAATTGAAATAAACCAAAAGCACATGGCCACAGTCACGAGCTGCAAGGCGAGGGGGAGTGGGTGGGGGTGCTGTTACTTTGCCACCTCACACTGTTTACGCTATCAGCCAGCACTATTGAATGTGAAACGACTCAAGTGTTGACCATGTGAGTTCGCAGTGTTTTCACCGCACGCCATCTTGACCCCATCAAACTCTTGTCCCGTGAGTCCAGCGGCCAACAAAGGGCTCACTCTTCCCTGACTGATTCCGATTATAGGCTTTGCTCTGTATTATACTTGATAACCGCAACGCGCAAAGCTTGGCCGTGACGTTCTTGACCGTCACTTCTGACTAATCTGAAACGGCTATCCGTAAGCATTAACCGCACATCATCGCAGGCGTCGCGGGGACCGAGTGTAAACCGTCATTTGTTGATCCCAAAGGATATTATGGCCTCTTACTGCCTGCAAGAGCAGCTCACTTGATGACCTTCCCAGAATTATTTGGTAACTCAAGGGAAGGGCTCACGTTGCGGCGTGCAATGACGTGCAGCAGTGTGTTTAGTCTGACGCTTTCAAGAATCACAAAGTCAGCTCAGCGAATGCTGTGACAAGCTCTGCTCAAGGTTTTATAATGAGCACAAAGGGGGATTTCCTGGGTACGTTGCGGTTCCCACCCGCATTCCAAAAATATACACATTAGGTTAATGAATTCAAGACTAAACTGCCCTAAAGTATGAATGTGAGTGTGGATGGTCGTTTGGCCCTGTGATTGATTGGCGGCCGGTACAGGACAGACCCTACCTCTGGCCTAAAGTCAGCTGCGTTAGGCCCCAAGTCACCCGTGACCCAAAGGAGGGTAATAGAAAATGGATGGAGGCATGTCCATGTAAAAAAAAATAATATTAATAATAATAAATAATAATAATGACGACAAAAGGTAACCTGTCACACAATAATCTTGCCACTAATGTCTTTTCATTTTCAGCTCAAAAATCCACATTCGCCAATTAAAAACTGACGTTGGCTGAAAATTAGGTCAGGGATTGAATCATTTGAGGTATAAAACACATCAAAGTCCAAATTTCGAGTCTAAAGTGATGTTGTGAAAGTACAGATGGAGAGCAGGAGAGGAGGGAGTTATGGACATTGTTTCCTGCTGCACTGGTTCTTCAAGCCTGATTGACGTCAGCAAGGCCTTCAAAGCGGGCGCTCTCGACTTCCTATTATCACAGATGGGTCGCTGCAGCAGGAAAAAAAACAAGACAACGCTAAAGTCTCTAATTGTCTACGCCTCACTTCTCACAACCTTGACCGATCACTTATGCGTACAACTGTCCGTTAAGAAGAGGTGGGGGGGGGAAGACAAATTCGTCTCGCTTGCTGTTTTGAATGCAGTCTGCGACCCTCCCTTTTTCGCCATCGAATATGTCATCAGATACTTAAGAGAAAACAAAAGAACTCACACCTGCTCCTGAGTAATCGCAATTGTTCCTTTGTGCTCCTTTCTGTCTCATTTTCTCATCTGTCTGAACGGAAAAGGAGACCAGATTTTTCCTGTTTTGCATTTGTGTTCGAAAAAAAAAAAAAAAAAAAAAACTCCCCTAACAGTGCTAAAAGATCCACTGCAGTCCATCTTGAATTACCCCAAGTAAGCAATGTGTGCTTTGGAACAAAGTCTTAGTTGGTCGGATTGTTGCATCGAGGGACATAGGGACTTCAGTAAAGAATAACTCGTCATTTTCAACCACTGAAATCAAATTTGATAAGGCAGAATTGAAATAAACCAAAAGCACATGGCCACAGTCACGAGCTGCAAGACGAGGGGGAGTGGGTGGGGGTGCTGTTACTTTGCCACCTCACACTGTTTACGCTATCAGCCAGCACTATTGAATGTGAAACGACTCAAGTGTTGACCATGTGAGTTCGCAGTGTTTTCACCGCACGCCATCTTGACCCCATCAAACTCTTGTCCCGTGAGTCCAGCGGCCAACAAAGGGCTCACTCTTCCCTGACTGATTCCGATTATAGGCTTTGCTCTGTATTATACTTGATAACCGCAACGCGCAAAGCTTGGCCGTGACGTTCTTGACCGTCACTTCTGACTAATCTGAAACGGCTATCCGTAAGCATTAACCGCACATCATCGCAGGCGTCGCGGGGACCGAGTGTAAACCGTCATTTGTTGATCCCAAAGGATATTATGACTGGCAATGGATCGTTAATATTTGTTAGATGCCTTTAGAATGGAATGTTACAGACAGCGCAATCAAAACGAGCCAAAGAGGGGCGGAACATTGATCAAGTTTCCAATTTTCATTTTACTCCTTTACATTTGAAGTACATTGCTTTTGGTGCCTCTCTCACAGACTCCCAGAACTGATTTGTCCAGCGGTTTGTCTCACGGGCCACCCCACTCCGGTTTAGTCTGGGCTAGTGACTCAAATCCGTGTGCGCAGCAAGAATCCGTTTCAGGTTTTCCAGGCTCACAGCCAAAGGAGAGGATCCTGAGGGCTGGAAGCTGCAGCTTGGTTAAGTATTTGAATTATGTCATTGACGTCAGCAGAGTCATAAACCTTGTTGCGGCACATCCCTCAAGCCGTCCCGTGCCAACAAAGCTGCATGGCGCATTGTTCGAGGGTCGTCAAACAGGCCCTGATGAAGTGTGCGCACGCTTATGTTTGTGTAACAACTGAAGTCTTTCGTTTGGATAGGTGAAGAGATTCTGTCACAATTGTAAACTACCTCATCAAAATTCAGGGTTGCTAGTGAAAGAAGACAGTCTTTGGATAGAGTGGTTGTGGTATTGGCCCGAATGTTTAGTTTTTGTCATTTCCACTCACAGATTATACTCAAACCATTTACCTCATCGACTAAAACGAGGGCAAATCCACAAAACAAAGGCTATGAGATATCATGTACGTCCTTTTTGATGCTTCTCATGATTGCGCCACCCGCTATCCTTTGTCGGCAGGAAAATTACCAGTGTCAAAATGTAAACTAAAAATGTAACATTACCAATGGAATTGACTTACGTAAGGCCCCACGGTCACATTCAGTTCAACGAATAAGCCACCCGTCACATGCTAAATCAACATCAAATCACAAAAGTTGTCACGGCAAATCATCAGGAAGTAGAATATGTTGATAGAAATGTTTTTGTTAGCTTAAATAGATCTGCTTGATGTTGTTTTAATTCACGAACAAATCACACTGCCATGCATACGAGCCACCTCGTCCCCTTATTACACAAAAAAAAAGTAAACCATATTCTCAACTCCATTTTTCTTTGTTTTTTTTAAAGCATTATCAGCACTTATTTGAACAACAGGAGACTTTTGATGCAATTTTATAATAACGTACAGTATGGAAAATACAACGACATTATAAGAGTACAGTGCAAACCATAACCCCTTTTTAATCCTGCCAATCGAAGCTTTCTTCATTCCTTACAGGTTCACTTTCGGTCTTTTTAACAGTGACAAGCAGATTTGATTTTCCTCCCAGTGTGAGATTGAAAATTGACCGATGAACGGGGATATTCGTGTTTGGAGCTAGGTCCGCTGCATGTGCCACATGCGCAACAATGATTGACACACTGTAATTTGGTTGCTTGGTGATCAACTGCTGCCAACATGAGTGAAAATACGATCCCTTCTTAATGCTAACATCTTTTTGTCTTTTTGTC